TAACATCAAATAACACTCACTGTATTTCAACATTTCCAACTCAACATACATTTCATCCTGTTTAGATTTAAAAACTTCCTATTAAGATGTTGCTTTAGTAAATATTTCTTTCATATCTGATTTAAGATTTTTGGTTTTTTTTTTTTTTTTTAACTTTGAGTACTGTGAAGTTGACTGATCTCTTCTTGAGCATTTAGCACAGAAAAATATTGCATTTCTTGAATTTAAGACTGAAACTAGCTACCATTTTTTTCTGAAGTTTAAGCATACTTTTTACAGAGAAAATTGGACTGTCCTAGGAAAGTTAGTACTCAAATTCCAATTCCCACTTTGCCACATAACTTGCACGTGACCTTGATAGTCAACTATTTTCTCTGACTCTGAAAAAGATATTTAGAAAATAAATTACTAATTTACAAAACAAGAATGCTTTATGGACAGCTGCAAACAAAGGCTTAGGAGAACCGAGAAGTCAAAAGGCTGGTGGAGAAGGCCCTGTACCAGACGGAAGGGAACACAAATCAGAATGACAATCATCATAAAAATAAAAAAAAAAAATCACTGGGACTGTCAGCTAGGTGCTGTGACCCATTAGAGCCCCTCCTGTAGGAAGAAATCCAGATGTCTCAACTAAGAGCCCAATAAGTATGAACTGTCTCTAAAGGCACCAACAGATGTAGAAAAGAAAGCCAGGTGTACAGATGTCAGTCATCTGTGCCAGGAAGAACAGCACAGGGAGAGTCAGGAGCAAGTCCTGCACACCTCAGTTTGCCACAACACATTTTGCAGCTTGGCAAGCACCTCATGGCACACACCTAAAAGCCAGATCTCAGCTCCAATGGCTAAGGCTGCAGCAGTAGCTTCCAAAAGAAGCATAATTATACATGAGGCCACATAGTTAAGATTTATTTCTTGCCTTCAGTCTTGGAAAAAGTGAGAAAGACATCTTCAAAACCAGAGAAGTGGAGGCTGTGCCTACTCGCCAGGGACTTACTAACCAATTACCTTTTCTCTCCTCATCTCTAACTATAATATCCTACACAGTATACAGTATATTAATATATAGTTATAAATAAATGGTACACACACAGGCTTGTTAGTTAAAGATGTATATAATTTTGTATTTGGAGCTAACAGAGTTTGGAGAAACTATGGATTGGAACAAATGCTTCTGCCAATTTCTCTTTTAGCCGATAAAGATGTGGTAGGTACCTAACCATGGTTCATGTCACCAGGATACCTGATTTAACATTCTCAGGGACAGTATTTTAAATACAACATCTCAGCCCCACATACAAATTCCTTATAGGGTTTAAAACCCTGATGGTATCCGTAAGACTTGTGCCTCCACACATGAATTACAAAACTCTGAAACTATTATGGGTGGATACATATGTACCACTAAAAATGCTAAACCTAATACTTTAAGAAGCAATTTTTTTTTTTTTTTGCTTAAACATACTGTCCCATGACTCTTACTACTTCCAGTTGAGACATTCTTCTTTATACTTCCACATACTTAAAATATTCTGCTTACTCTTTATTTAAAATAGTAAAGTGACAGTAAATAGCCTATTGAAAACCATAAAGAAAGGCAATGTAAAATACAACACCCAAGGGCACAGCAATATGTGTGTCCATCAAAGTAATTTGGATTTAATTCTATTTACAATTCTTCATCTAAAAGTAAGCCTGAGGGAACAAGCATTGTCTTTAGCTTGTAAATACAAAGAAAATTCAGAAATACAGTAAGGCTGAAGAAGCCCCATAGAAACCAAAACATAATAAATAATGTCTTTGCTTCTGCATTCCTATAAAGTACTGTCTTACAGCAACTACTGTACAATATTCTTTGGAAAAAGAAAGATATGTAATTCTGTGGTTCTGTATTTATAACAGGCAACAAGCCAGAAAGGAATATCTATCAGTAGACAATACTTTCCTCAAGAATAAAACTAAAAGGTAGTGAGCCTTTTGTCATACTGGGAGAGGATCAATGGCTTAATCACACAGGTTAGCCCCAGAGAGCCAACTGGCCCTCATTTATTGCTACTGGAATATAATTGTCAACTGGAAGTTTCTTAAAATGGATTTAGGGATCACATAACCAGTGATTCTGAACAAACACTGTCTAAAAGTCTGACTAAAAGTGAAATTCCTGAAGGACCTCTAACAAGAAGGGCCTGGCAGGGAGAGAAGGCTAATTAAAATGGCTCAGCTCAAGCCTTAAAAATCAGCTGTAGCTCCAGACAGAAAACTGTATCCAGCAGCTAAAACCAAAGCAGGCGGCAGAGTCTCCAAACCACAACTCCATATGTTGACAAACCAAGTCCAGGACAACAAGGCATTAAGATATCATGTAGTAACCATCTTTTCTCCTCTGCAAGAGAGGAATACAAGCTTCTAGTTTTGCATGCTGGTGAAGGTCTAGGTGGTGTTAGTATATATGACTGGGTTCTCTTCTCTCTGCAATTGCTGTCCTCTGAGCTGAAGTAATCAGTTGGTTGGGCTGGTCAGGTATTTTTCACTCCCAGCTCTGAGAGCAGGTATTGCACTGAAAATCCCAAGCAGGCTGATTCAGTTTTAAAATAGTAGGACCTCAAATCATTATGCTAGGGTTTAATAATTACTGCTACAAATTAAGGCTAACCTTAGCTGTCCACCTGGCAAGAGAGTCTGCTAAATACACATAATCAATTTGCATTAATATTATTTAACAGAAAAAAAAAATTGTGCAATGGGTTCATAGAATCATAGAAGGGATTTTTATATTGTAGTAGGGTACTTTCATCTGCTCCAACTTCTCAATGTTTTTTTCTCTTTTTTTTTTCCAGTTTCCTTTTTATTAGCAATCCATCTGGACCTTAAAAAGCTCGAACTAGCAGTACATCAGGACTCTGCACTTGGCTACTCAAAGAAATATTTCCAATGTGTCCATAAGTTTTGGAAGTGTTGCTAAACACTGTTGTTAGATTGCAAGATAGCCACATGAATACATGCAGCAAAATTTGAAAGGGAGATGCTGCAGTTTCCTCTGGAGCTCCTGTTTTAAAAAGGCAGGTATGTTGGGATGAGAGGAGTGACACATTAGCAAGCCCAATTATCTGCATATGCTCGTCCTCCTCAAAGACAAGCTCACCAGGCCCTGAGACGATCAAGAAAAAGTAGTTATGTGAATTATGTGGGGAACAATTCTCGGTGGGGAACAATTACAGCTGCAATGACTACTGCATATTAAATCGGAGTAGTCTTACAAATCTGAAACAGCATGAAGAACTTTCAAAGCCAGTCTCTGCTTACCCCAAACCTCACAGAGACAAATATAAAAGCATCCACACAGGGAAAAGAAACACAAATCCATTGTTTTAGTAAGCGCATTCAGCACAAGAAACTCTTCTTAGGAAACTGGGCAGTGAAGAAAACTCAGAAATTTTAGTTGTCAAAAAGCAGGTGCCACCTCACCCACCTCCAGCCATTTTGAAGTGCCGCACTCCCAGAGGCACTGTGACTCTAGCTGGGAGGACACTCGGGGCCTTTCCCTGTCCACACAACCAAAACATCTGAGTAGCAGTCGTACAAGAATGTTATTTTGCAGCACATATTTTCAAAACTAATTTTTAAATACATGTATATATATACGCTCTTTATTATTTTAGGTGGGCCAAATATATGCAGTAAGGAAGACCTTTTTGGGGTTTTTGTTTGTTTGTTTGTTTTCTTTTTTTTTTTTTTAGATAGTAGACATTCTCATCTAAATTTGTATGTTGCAGATGCCACTTTTCAGTGAAAGAATATGAAAAACTAATCCACCCACATTACAAAACTAGCTGGCATATAACAATGATCAGCTATTGCCCCCCCAAAAAAAATCTTTCCTCTTTTAAAAATATTTTTATTTTCTTAAACCAAACAGGCCTTCTGAGTTTTCCAGGAAAGAGATTTTTTTTTTTCCACCATGAATGAACTTCTCAATTTCAAAAAGCTAAGTACTAGAATAAAGCTCTCAGTATGACAAGTGAAAATTTAAACACTTCCAAAGTAGAACAACAATGGGACTGATGTCAAAGTGCTAGACAAGTATAAAAAAATATCATTTGGGTGATCTGTACACATATAACACATTCTGTACATCTGACTGGCTTCCATTCGATGCTAAAATCCTTTGGCTGATTTCCCAGAAATAACTGGATCAAGCCTCTCTTTTTTTACTGTGCGGGTGACGGAGCACTGGAACAGGCTGCCCAGAGAGGTTGTGGAGTCTCCTTCACTGGAGTCATTCAAAACCTGCCTGGACGCCTTCCTGTGTGATGTACTCTAGGTGGTCCTGCTCTGGCAGGGGGGTTGGACTAGATGATCTTTCGAGGTCCCTTCCAACCCCTATTATTCTATGATTCTCTACCAATCTATCTTTCCATTAAATCCTGCTAATCAAGCCCTCCTTCCTGTGTGATGATTCGTAGTATCTACTTTAAAAAGAAAATTTTTGTTTAAAAGTGAGATGAGCTATGAAAATGCTTCATCAAAATAAGTGAGCAAAAAGATTAGGGAAGATTTTTTATGCTTATATAAAAAGCAGTACATTCAGCCAATATAATTAGTTACAATTGCCTCAAACTCTGTGAACCTACAGTGACTTACCTCACTGAAGATCTAGAACTGACAGCCTAAAGCAAGTTTACCCAGGGACTTTAGGGCAGTATTGTCTCGTCTCAAGAGCAAATATTTGAATGGAGGGAGAGGTTACCAACACTGTAACAGTATTTACTCAAATACTCTTGCTCTGAATCAGTTTTACAGACCTTACAAGCTTCTTTGTGGGAATGTTCAAATACTTGTATTTTTAAATATTTTTAAAGAAAGAAATATTTTAAAATATTGTTCCTAAGTCAATAATTTTCCCTTTAGCTAACAATCAATTTCTAAGAAACAAATGGCATGACATTTTACACAAAGGTACTAGTCTGTGGTTTCCTGGAATATGTGCTCTTTTTGACTCTTACCTTCACATTTTCTGGATGAAGCCCTCCAGGGTGTTTGTCCATGTACTGACATAAATCAGTGTGCTAAAAGAAAGTCAGATGGAAAAAAGTGTATTAATATCTGTATGACTGCAGCAATAAATATCCTTCTACTTAGGAGTGGACAGAAAAAATGGAAAATAAGGAGATATTTTCAGCCACACGTGCACAAAAGTACTTGTACCTTTACACTCCATTTTATTTAACAATCTTGGCAACTTGATTGATAGGAGTATTCATCTTTTTTTTTTTTTTTTTTCTTAACACCCTCTATATGGTGAATTAATTGCTTGAATTTTAGTTTCATTTTTTACCTTGTAAAGACAATATCACCATCAACACCAAAAAGGTAAAACTTGGAGGGAAAAGAACCTAAGGGGAGAATTTCAAATGCTACTCTTATTGTTCACATTAAAACATTGCTTTTAAATATAATTTTATGGTCACTCTAGATTAATATGTTTTAATGGCTTAGAAAATAAATCTGAACAACACTGCATACCAGAGTACCGAGTGATATGTTCCAGCTCAATAAGAAGCACATACTGTGCAAATGTATAGCTATTCATTAATTACTTTCAAAAACAGCTTCACTCAAGACTCAGAATTTTTTTGCCTTCATAGTTGCCTATATTCTCTGCCAACATTCCATAAAAACTCTTCAAAGAATAATCAGGCTTGCAATGTATAGATTTATATTATTTTTAATTAATAAGTATTTATTGCTTTTACTATGGAAATGGTACTTTCTCTGAATTTTTCTCTTGCATTTCTGCACTTCCTTACCAGTCAGCAGCATGGTTTCAAGTGAAGTAGCATGTTCCTTCTCTGATTTGCTTGTACAACTCAGCTTCTGGAATTATGTTCAGAATAAACAAAGCAAAAACACACACTAACCACCAAAAAATCAGACTCTGACTGGCTTCCACATCTGGTTTCTGAACACATCTGGTAAAAATCATCCATCATTCCTTGGAAAGCTACTTGGCAATACCTGCTTCACATACAGGCCAAATGAATATAGGCAGTTCTCAAGGTGAGAGTTTTGGACAAAAGGTGCCTTCGACACAACAGAATGGTTTCTCTGTGCAGCAGGGTCCAGGAGCCAATTCTCTAGTGCTCTTTTGCAGAGCTGTACTGATACACAGCAAAGTTCACATCTTGTAAGACACAAAAATCATGCTAGTCCCAAATGTTCTGTAAAATCTTCTCTTCTGAAGTCATAAAACTACAGAACCACATTGTGCATGTAGAATTAACATTTCAATGACGTAGGAGGCACTGGCTGGTTAGGTTGTGCACTAGCACACCTTTTTTTTTCCACTAATTCTTACCTGGCTTCAAGGCATCGAGTACCCCGACTGCAAGAAATCACTTGAGTCCCAAAAGGAACAGTGTGAGTACCACAAGGGAAGAAGCTATGCTCAAAATGGCCAACCACACTAAATACAACACAACACAACAAAGCTTCTTCCAAAACACAAGCTACAACAATCAATACTTCAATTTATAGTTAGCACATCAGTGAATGCATTTACAAAAAAAAATAAAAAATACACCTTTACTAGTGAATTGTTACTGGCAGTGAAGTGCATTTTGCATAAAGTCTGTGTTTAAGACTTATTCCCAGTTTCTTTAAAATCTTTAGCTACTTCAGGTACATAGTCATCTTCCATTCTCCCAGTTAGTTTTCTGGTCCTGTATCAATAAACTATCTCAAAAATGGACCTTCAGCATGCTTCACTGCATTACCCAGTTCTGTCTTGTTTTATTGTATTAACACTAAAGAAATATACTTGAACAAAGTCATCTGCTAACCTTGTCATTTGTTTGGAAAAAACAACAGGTTTTGAGTACTAATCCCGGCACAGAAGTCTGCCTCCAGCAAAATATCAGCTGAAATACCATTATTACAGGTGATGGCTCATGTCAAATAAGAAGTTTGGGGTATTCCCTCCATTTCAATGGGTCATCCAATTTTGAGAAGTGCCAGCCTGGCAGAAAACACATTCTCTAATTTAAATACAAATATTTGAATAATGATAGCACCTACAGTGTTTGGGAAGATTTTAAAGACAAGTGTGAAATTTCACTTTAGAAAGCCCAACAGGACATACAAGGCAGTGCTGTCCCATCCTCAGATACACTCATCATGGCCCCTGAGCTCAGCACACTTTGTCACACGGACTGGCTAGAGAAAGAGAATTATCATTTCCCCACAAATGTCTGCCAGCCTTTGTGAGTGACAGATAACCTGCTAGGTGGGAAACTTACTCCCTCCTTCACCTTCTACTGATCCTTACAATTTGCAACTAGTCAGCTGCCAGAAACCAGACAAGATGAAGACAAACACAATGCTACTTTGGAAGGTCCCATCCATGAAACTCCAGCACCCCAGCTGCCCACTAGCTCCCCCTTTCTACTCACCAAAACTATTCTAAGAATATCTTCTTCAGAGTCACATGACTAGGAACTGCACTACGCCATCTTTTCATTTTAAATGTACTTGCAATGAATTAAGAGGATAACCCCATTTACTTCCACTTATATTTCAGTTATTAGTTGAATGCATTTCCTCCACGTTTGTGTTATGCATGATTCACCTCTTCTTCCTACCCCAAGGACCAAGACTACTGGTAGCCTGGTAGAAGCAGCAATTTCTACAGAACCCTGGAAACCTCACAGAGTCAACTGTGCAGCAGCAGTCTTTTGGCATCTATCTTTTTCCCCACGCACTTGCTAGAGACAGAGAAACCTCTACCAAATCTTCATTCAGACAGTAAACAAAAATAGAATGTTTTTTCCTGTCCAAATCTTTCAAGAATTTGCTCTCATAAAACTAAGTTAGAGTCTTTCTCAAAACAGAAACTAAAGACTATGGTACCAACTGCAAAAACAACCTATAAAGTTACAGTACATTGTTCCTCAAAAAAAAGCTAGCAGTAAAGCAAAGGCAGCATCAGCTGCTCCTCTTCTTTTCCCAAGGTAGGGACGCAATGCACATTGAATTAAACATTAGTATAGCCAGAGTAGCTGACACTGCTGCAGGGACGGCTATTTCTAAACTTGTTTACCCTTTTGGCAGGCAAGTGTCTGCTCCAGTACTTGTGTGCTCAAGTGACATTGAAGAACACAACATGAACGGAAGTTTCAGAAAAGCATTAAAAAAAGAAAGAAGAGAGCAAATTGGATAAAAGCAGTTTTCTAATGGTATTCCATGAAACTAGTACCACAGAGATGAACAGAGTCTTTTTCTTCACACTGTATTTCAAGGTAGAAGGCAACATGCTTTCCCAAGTGGAACGGTGGCTGCAGATACAGCATGTCATACTCTGACACTAGGGTCCTTTGCCGTGGTTACCACATTGATCTAATAAAATACATACCCTAAGGAAAAATTCAAGATACAGTTACATAATGGCAATAATATAAAACTACACTGATATAGGGTAGGAAGACAAAAAAAAAACAAAGACACCTTTTACAATCCTTTCTCCCTGACTCAGAGAGTGAGGACACCTCACAGGGAAGCAGAATACACTCGGAATGCAGTACAGAGACTTCCAAGTAACTGCAAAAGTCTGCCACACACATCCTGATCCCAAGTGGACATGGCTAGAAGAATTCTGCTTTGAGCTAGCTTTTAATAACTCTATCAGCCATACTTTTAATCCCTAACACACATAAATCACCATGGGCAATCTCCTGCTGACAGAACGTATGATATTTTAGCTTAAATTCACTACCCCATTAAGTACTGCTCTTAACATTCCACCAGTTCACCCACGTCTTTATGTACAAATAATCTACTAGCACTTATCTGCTCCTAACAGCTACACAAGTACAATAAATAGAGATAAATCAAGTTTCCATGTGAAGAACTCAAAATTAGGAATGTCCAGAATTAATGGGCTTTAACCAATCTTTTCTTTGTTTGCCCAGTAAATGTAAATTATAATAACTTTTCAAATGTGTAATGTGATCACATACTTTTTTCCCCTCACTGGATTAGATGTGCATGCTGAACAGAATAGGAGGTATTCGATTACAGAACAGCTGTGCTGGTTTTATGGTTTGGGGTTTTTTTCTGTTCTCATGCAGCTTGCAGTCTCTGGCTTATTTACTTCTTGGAAGGCAGAAATATCAATCTCACAGCTTTCCTGCCCTGCTCATTGCTATGCTATTCACATGCTTCACAAATAAAAAAATCTCATAGGTAGGGCAGATGTGGCATTATTGCCTTTTATCAGGTAGAGAATTGAAGCAAAGAAAAAGAAGTCTTAAAGTATCAGGGTTTAGGGAAACTCCATTTAAAGCAATTTGGTTTGGACTTCTCAGAGTGCTTGGCCAATTTTGCCTCGTGTGTTTTGACTGACTTCAGTTACAGCTGTGAGTGTATAATGCTTTTTCAAGGGAGACTGAGAATCTCACGCTGAATGGCACAAGTCAGCCACATGTGAACTTCGGTGGCAACAATTTGGGATGGTGATGACAATTCCCAGTACAGCAGGGCTAGAACCCAGTTTTCTACAGCAGTATTATCTGCCTTATCTTGAAACAATACTTGGAGGCATGAACCCCAGAGGATACCCTAGTTCCAACATCCACGAAGAATGAGAAAAGTTCAATAGCAATGACATGCCCTCACCACATGGTTCGCTGCAGAGCTGCAGAACATGCTCTTTCAAAAGAATGGCAAAAGGAGATTGCATAGGTCATCTTTATCTGGGCAACCTCTTATTTTAAGACCTTGATTTTGCCACCACACTAACACCTTTTTGTGGAAAATCTCTTATGCCTTAAGTGAAGAATTTGACCTCTCCTCCCACTACTGCCTCCCACAGAAAAAAAAACAATTTTCTCAGGGAATGTAGTCCACAATATCTGAAGTCAAAGACTAAAGCCAAGCCTTTGAGAGGAGAGGGGGAATCTTCAAAGACAGAGTTCTTAATTACAAATGACAATTTTTCTAAAGCCTATCACTTGACCAAATGTGGGCAATTTTCAGAATAATAGCTCAATGCCATCCACAGCACAAAGCCTAC